GCTGCCAGTCAGGGAAAAACAGAGCAAGGAACCTCCCGATTAGTGCAGAACGCGGTCCGAGTCCCACCTACTGCCTGCTTTGGGAAGCGGGGGGGGGGGGGCGGGGAGGAGGCGGTGTTGAGGGGAGAGAGAAGGCATTCTTAAAGGGCCAGAGCAGCAAAAAGCTAGACAGGTGGATTCCCTGCGTCCAGAAACCAATACCTGCTTGGATGTACTCATTCCCTGAGGGCTTCTGATGGTGTCACCAGTAACCTTGTCTCTGGGATGTGCCCTGTCCCCATCCCAGGCAGAGTCCAGGCCAGCACACCTGGGTGACAAACACTGCCACTGGCAACACGGGGTGCAGCACCCCTGGAAATAGGTTTGGTGCTGCTGCGGCGCCTCAGCAAAAGCTCTCTAGGAAGCTCACATGGTCTGGGAGAACCCACTCAGTGTCCCAGGGTGGCTCAGTCACCAAGGGGCTGGAGCAAGGGGCAGGCTTCACAAGGGGAATCCTGCTGTTGCTTGGGTCTGCCAAAGCCTGGGATGGGGATGGTGGTGAGGCAGGAAGGGAATGGGATATCTCGGATAGAGGAGATATCCCTCTTTCAGAAGGCCAGAGCTCACCTGTAGAAAGGTTCTGACCAAGGCAACCCAGGAAGCTGAGAGATCAGGGCAGTATCCCTCAGGGCAGGATATGCCACCTGCCATAGATGGGGCCAGCACCATCCCCACTGCATTGGTATTGGGGTCTGGCTATTGCCCTGAAAGAGCAAAGAGGTATTAAAGCCTTTGCAGGCTTGACATGGTCCGTGGCACTGGGCTAGATCTTCTGTCACCAGAGAGACTGCAAATTCAGGGCTCAGTGCCAGCCGGGGCTCGAGTTACCTCCTGCCCATTATCACCTCCTTCCTAATCATTTACTGTCCCCAGCCGCAGAGGCATCTTGCCAGGACCCTTTGGTGCAGGGGACATCCTTGTCCCCAGCTGTAGCACAGCCCACACAATAGAGAGGAACACTTGCTCCTGCAGCTGCTGCAGCCATTCCCATCTGCCAGAAATCAGAAGTGCTGAGTCTGAGCAGCAGCACAAGGCAGGGGGGAAGAGAAAAAAAGAAAGCCATAAAAAGAGAGAGGTTTCTGCCTCTGTCTGTGATTTGGCCGCAGTAAGCAGGCGGCACACACAGCCCCACACCCATGCACAGCTTCCGCTGCACCTCACTTCCTTCTGCTCTAAGGAACCGGTCACTCCTACTCACAGCCTCCCGAGAAGGGACACATTACTGGCACCAGCCACCTCGGAAACCCATCAGATGTCTCCCTGATTCCACTGGATCAACCGCCCAGCCTCATCATAAAGGATCAAAGCATTGCTATAATTGAAAGCTCTCAAGATGCGCAATTCCCAGCGGGGAAGAAGCACAGAAGCTGCCTGCCATGCGCAGATGCCTTCCTGGCTGCTGATTGTTTAGTCAGGATATTAGACATCACCCAGAGATAGCATATTACAAATCACACAGAGCTTGTAATAGGGTTGTTTAAACAACACCTGTGTGGAAGGCTCACCATCCTGCTCAGAGCTACAATCCAGCATGATGAAGCCCTGCAAGCTACTGGGGCAGTCTGCAATGCCACCCAACACTGAAGTCAGCATCACAAAACTTCTACAGAAACAAAATCAGAGCCATCAGGAGTCAAACATAAAGCAAGACATGGATGGGAAGGACTGCTCTGTGGCCACAGACCATCAAACGGAGGAACCAGCATTGTCCTTTGGCTTTGCGTGCTACACCACGGGAAGCAACACCCTGGTTTTCCAGTAGGATGGTGGTTCTCAGCTCCATTTGCACCACCACCTCCTCAGCCCACACCAGAGCATGACGCAGAGTGGCTATGTTCCCCTCCCAGCCCCTGACCCCACCAAGTACTCCCCTTGGCTCTCATTTTGCAGAGGGAAGAATACACCATTTGCAGCAAACCTTCTGCCATGGATTTGCAAGATTTTGCAAGCTGATCTCAGCTTCCATCGGTTACTCATGCAAGGCGTACCCAAAACTGCATCTGAAAGACCTATGTTTGTTCACCTCAGCAAACTGACTCACTTGATCCTGCTCACCACAGAGCAAATGTCATCAGCACTCAAGATGGCTCATTTAACTCCAGAGAAGACCTGTTCAGCTACTGCTAAATGCTCTTTAGGCATGGCACAACTGGATATTCCCCGCAACCCCAATCCGCTATAATATGCATATGGCACAAGTGAACCATGGCTCTGCCCAGCACTGGGACATGCCAAGGAAGGAGCTACATTACCTCAGCAGGTGTGGGGAGACGGCTTGCAGTGCCCACGATCTGGTGGTACAGCCCTGGCTCACCATTCCTTATGGTGCTCTGGCGGCTCCCCAGGGGGCTGGAAGAGAAGGGCTTTTTACACAGGACATCGCTCTGGCGAGAGTCTGTAGTGAGATAGACCTGGTGGTACAAGTTGGGTGGCATGAAGCCACCCCGCACAGCATCAATGTGGTGGAAGGGCCCCGGTGTCCTGTACAGGGTGCTCCTGGAACTGTTGTACAGCTCCTTGGACTGCCTCCACTTGTAGCACTTGAAGATGCCTACTGACAACATGGTGATGAAGAAAGCTGCTGACACTAAGATCACAGCCAGGATGAGATAGAAGGTCACATGCCTCTTGGGATCAGCAGGTGACACTTCAGTGAGGTCAGTGAGCACCTCCTTGACCATCTCAGCCACAGAGATGGAGACAGTGGCACTGGCAGACAGCACAGGCTCCCCATGGTCTTTGAGCAGGATGACTAGTGTGTGCTGGGGAGCATCATCGTCCCGGAGCTGGCGGGCTGTGAAGATCTCCCCGTTGTGCAGCCCAACTGAGAAAAGGCTGGGGTCAGTGGCCTGCAACAGGGTATAGGAGATCCATGCATTGTACCCTGCATCTGCATCCACTGCCACCACCTTGGTGACCATGTGCCCGGCAGGAGTGCCTGGTGCCAGCACATCAGTATAGGTGGCATTGGCGCTGGGGTGAGGGTACAGCACAGTTGGGGCATTGTCATTGAGGTCAGTGACAAACACACTGACTGAGACATTAGTGGCCAGAGGTGGAGACCCACCATCCTGGACCTGCACAGTCATGCTGAACTCCACCTGGTCCTCATGGTCCAGAGACGTGAGCAGGTAGAGGGTGCCATTCTCCCGGTTGATAGAGAAGAGGTGGCCTACATTGGAGTCACCCTGCAAGAGGGTATAGGAGAGATGGGCATTGCGCCCAAGGTCTGGGTCTGTGGCACTGACATTAAGAATGGGAATGCCAGGCATGTTGTTCTCCAGCACATACACATCGTACGAGTCCTTGGAAGACTTGGGCGCATTGTCATTGACATCTGATACCTGCACCAGGATCTGTTTTGCCACAGACAAGGGTGGTGAGCCCGAGTCCTTGGCTGTGACAGTGATGTTATACTCTGATGTCTTTTCCCGGTCCAGAGCTGCTTTTGTTTTCAATGTGTAGTAATTTTTGAGGGAGGAGCTGAGCATGAACGGGATCCCAGGGGAAATGAAGCAGTTCACCAGACCGTTGTCATGGGAGTCCAAGTCGGTTACACTCAGCAGAGCTACGACCGTCCCTGGGGCTGCATCTTCAGGCACAGGGCTGTACACAGAAGTCACTGTCACCTCTGGAGCATTGTCATTCACATCCAAAACTTCCACCAGCACTTTGCAATGAGCCACACCAGGAACAGCACCCTTGTCTTTAGCCTGTAAGTAAATCTCGTACAGCTTTGTTTCCTCATAGTCCAGTTGTCCCTTCACCCTCAGCTCCCCTGTGGCTGAGTCCAGAGCAAAGAGTTCTCGTACCTTGGCGGGTGTGTGGCTGCTGAAGGAATAGATGATGTCTCCATTGGGCCCATCATCAAGATCATACGCATTGATCCTGGCAACCAAGGTACCACTGGGTGTGTTCTCCCTCACACTTGCCTTGTAGGTGGATTGGTTGAAGACCGGGGCGTTATCATTGGCGTCCACGACATCAATGTGGATCTGCACGTGGGCTGACCGTGGCGGGCTGCCTCCATCCAGTGCGGTCAAGACCAAGTGCAACTCCCGTTGCTCCTCCCTGTCTAGCTCCTTCTCCAGCACCAGCTCCGCATACTTGCTGCCATCCACCCTCGTCTGCACGTCGAGCACAAAGTGGGGGTTGGCACTGAGCTGGTAGGTCTGCAAAGAGTTAATCCCCACATCGGGGTCTTGCGCGCTCTCTAGCGGGAAGCGAGCTCCCGCCGCCACCGACTCGCTGATTTCCAGCCTCGCCTGGCTGCTGGGAAAAACCGGGTCGTTGTCATTGATGTCCTGGATCTCCACGGCGCCGCTGTACAGCTCCAGCGGGTTTTCCACCACGATCTCAAAGCTGAGGGAGCAGGGAGAGAGCGCTCCACACAGCTCCTCCCGGTCGATCCGCTCGCTCACCAGCAGCGCGCCACTCGCAAGATCCACCCCGAAGTACTTCTTGCTGCCGCCGGACACCACCCGCAGCCGGCGTCCCGGCAGCCGCTCCAGGTCCAACGCCAAGTCGGCTACCACGTTTCCCACCGCGGAGCCTCTCCGCGCCTCCTCGGGAATCGCATAGCGAATAGCGGCGGAAACCCAATCGGAAACGCCGAACAAAAGCAAGAGGCTCAGTACCTGCCCCGTCGTCACCCCGCGGCTCCTTACAGCAACGCCGTTCATCGCACAGGACGGCCGCGCTCACCTCTTCGTCCCCCCGCCCCGGCTAGAAATCCTCAGCTCGCCCCGTCATGCCGCTGCCCAGCGCGCCCCGGGAAGCGGCGGCGGCAGGAGGACGGGCATTGCTTTCCGGGCTGCGCCGCGACTCCTTCCCGGGCTCTCTCTGAGACCGTCTGCGCCTCATCCCGGCTCCAAGCGGGGCCGGGCCGGCAGATCCCCCCAGCTCCATTGGCCGACAGCGGCACACACAGTCCTGGCCAATAACTGCACGGGAGCGGAGGGCTACCGGAACCCCGCCGAGGGGCAGCGCTCGTCGGTGAGCGCGGCAGCCCCGGCCCGAAGGCAGCGCTGCTCCAGCCCGTTGACCCCGAAGGGAAAGAAGATCCCTGTGAGAAACCCGGCTGATAAGGACAGCCGGGCTGGGAGAGGCAGTGTAGAAAGGGCACGGGGACTGCCGTGTGCGGGAAGGAAGGTGTAAGAGATAGTGGAGAGGATGACGCCAGAAAGAGGGATGGAAACGGGGGAGGGTGGGGATGTCCCGGGAAAACCGCGCTGGAAAGAAGCAGCGGGAACAAGAAGGGAAGGTGAAGAGGGTCTGCCGGAGTACACAGGGCGCCGGAGAAATCCAGCTCCGTGTCCTTCGGGACCTTCAGAATGCCGGTTCTGCCACCCAAGCGCTTGGTCAGATCCTTCCTGATACCTCACGGCGTCGAGCCTTTGTGCCGCCAAAGCAGCGTAGCCGGTAAAACGACACAGATTTAGTGCTGCCGAGTGATGAGCAGCTGCTCCGGCCGCAGCACAGTCACCTCGCAGGGCAGCTCCTGCTGCGGGGTTCCCAGGAGCACCTGGGACCGGCACCTCCTGTACCCTCCCCAGGCGCCCCCTCCATGTCCCGTCACTGTACCCGCAGGCATCTTTCCCTACAAATCGTAAAGTTCTCGGTTTAATACGCCCTCCTGCTCTCACCGCCTCCCAGCTTGCTCTTTGGTACCTGTTTCTACCAGCCAGACGCAGGGAAATGCACGGTCTGGTTCGCCGGGGTCGGGAGCGGTTCCCGTTCCCGTACAACAACAGTCCAGCAGGTTCACGGCACTGCGTGAACCACGGCACCGGCAGCGCCTGGGCAAGAAACAGACAATTCCCGGGATGCCAGCCTGCGGTTGTGGCTGGTTTCGAGTGCTCATATGAATAAAACTACTGTAATTTCAGGTTGTTTTTCCATCACATGCGTAACTGCTCAGCTATCACGGTGGGAAATGGACAAGGAAGCTTGATAAGAGGCGCGCCAGAGCAATGTCAATGGCGGCTGTGGCCAAGAAACAGCGTCTAAGTGTCCTCCCACAGCCGAGACAGCTATGGAAAGGATGGCGATGTCTGGGAAATAATTCGGGCTGGAAAGGAGCTCCCAGGAGTTCATTCGCAGACCGAGAGAAAAGACAAGGCTCTCCTGCAAACCTGTTTCGTAAGACGAAATGGCCATGGATGACACCTCCTGGGGTTTTGAAGAAATATGGAAAAAGTTAACTTCATGGTTACCCAGTCTCTCCTGGTTGAGGCAACTGGTTGCAGGAATATTGATGTTATGTTGATATTGATTACTTGTGATAGGATACAATGTTCCCTCTGGTGTTGTAAATGGTCTATGATAAATTATGAAGATTGGAAAAGGAATTAAATTAAGCACCAAGTAGAAATGGGAAATTATTTCAAAAAGACTTTTGATGGTAATGGGAATATATGAAAAAAAAAGTTGCAAAAATTTGCAAAAGGATAGAAAAAGGGGGGAATTTGAGACAAAGGGGGAGGCACAATCACAAAATATAATATAGAAATCTTTAGAATTAGTTTTAAGTAATGTTAAGTTTGAAGGCTTTGTAATGGTAGCAATGGAAAATTACTGAGGTGCATGATACATAGAGAAAAAATATATAGAGTGCAGCTAGAGAACATACTGAGAATTCTCACAAGATAAATCGTTATAGTTGACATAGTTTTAAGAAAAAAACAGTCTAGAAGAACAGGACACAGGGATAAGAACAGGACACAGGGATGAGTATCTGGGAACAGCAGGGGTCCAGGATGGGCTACAGTTAAACTAACTGATGAGTAGGAGGATAGAAGGATTATTATGTCTCTGGGGCTAACGAACCAACTAAACTGGTATGAGCATCTACTGCGCGTGCTTCAAAGGCTGCCAGAAGTGATGAAGATTGTTGGAGGAAGTAAACGACCCTCAGAGACCACCACCACAATTCTGTACGCATGCGAGGAACTCTCTGGAAAATGATGTAATCCATACGTAGCCTCATGAATATGTATGTATGCCCAGTGGCTATAAAAGGACGGCTTGTGTGGCAATTGGGGTGATACACACTAGCTGGAGCTATCCCCCGTGCCTCCCGGTGCCGCAATAAAGAATACCTGCTTGTCAGCTTGAAAACTTTGTTGGCGAGTTTGTTCCTGGAGTTTTCTCCGTATCATTCGGAAACGCAGTGGCTGCATTTCTGTTACCCCGCTGCTTGTCATGGCTGCAACGTGGAAGGGCTGCAATTAACCCAGACCAACGTGGGAGATACGACACAGGGACCTTGATTCTGTCCTCGCTCCGTACAGCCCTTTTACTTGCCGTGAGCGGGCAGGATCTGCCCACAGATGCAGTGTCAAACGGGTCGGCACAGTCTTTCCTCTCTGCATGCTATTTCCTTTCCTACTGAATAAACTCTGCGAGTAATAAATCCTATCAGGTCTACTTAGCATTCTTATCACCAGTCCACAGAATGTGATAAAAGTATAGGCACCACGCTGGTAATACCCAACGTTAGTCATCTAACGCTGTATTTTAATAGAATTTAATTTCGGAGCAATTTAAAGACAGAAAGAAAATTGTATGCTTTAACCACCGCAGCTGAATAGTGCACTTAAGTGTATGTTATTCCTCTCTATCCTTTTAGGAGCACTTCTGTAACACATTACGTCTGCAGGCTCACAGTGCTTTGAGCTCATTTCTCATAGGTCCTTATGCAACCAAATCCCAATTACTTTTCTTATATATATTCTAAAGAGTAGAAAATCCGCAGCTTGCACTGAGGCAAATTTTGAAACAGCATTCAGCCACCCATTTTCTCTGAAAGCCCTAAATCTTTTTTTCCCGAGCACTGCCCGTTTCTCGTCTTTCCTAAACACAGTTTACTGAGTAATTTTGTCTACCACGAGTACCACAATTCTTAAGGTGTTTCTCATGTATGCACACACAACCCCTATTCAGAGTACCTGGTCTGCCTAATCCCAACAATAGCAGAACGGCCAAGCAGCGGAGAGCTGAGTACAGCAAAGATCTCAGGAAAGGCATGGAAGACCGAACATTTCCATATATTTTGGCTAATCTGCAGACATTACTTCTCCCTTACTTTGACAGGAAGCCCGAACATTGAAAGTGATGCTTCACTGCTCCAGAAATGAAATTGCTCCAGATATTGTTCCATTGCTCTCACCATTTGGAGAGAGAGAAGTGGAAACGTGTGACAGTTTAAGGGGAAAAACGCATTTTCCCTACATCAGGAATTCCTTCGGGGACGGGCTCAAGCCAAATCCCAGCCAAAGCCGGTCAATGATATTATTCCCGGCTCTGCCGGGGCTCAGGAGAAGCCGGTGGCAGCAGCAAACCCAAAGCATTTTCTGCTCTGCTCCGGATTCAGAGCTACAGTGAGGCACCAACCCCGGTTCCCCATACGGCGGGGATATGGTAAGTCACGGGTGTGCCATCTTCCTTTTGAGAGGTTCAGAGTAGGAAAAAAAAAAACACCAAAATCAACTAAAGTTGGCAAAACCCGGGAAGAGAGTTGCTGCCTCACTGAACGAATCACGCCGGGATAGATTACACATCGTTATCACAGGAAAACAGATCTGGCTGGGATAATAAAGGAAGCAGTCACTACACCAAGACGAAAGGGCTGCCTCAGCCTCGGACCTCAAGACATTTTTGGCCCCGCTCCACCCTGCATCCACTCACCACACCGGCTCAGTGAAACTTGCGCTAGGAGTAGGACAGACAGCAGTACTGACAACATTGTGTTGCGCCTCGGGGCACAAACGACAAATCGCTGACGAGATTGGGCAGGTAAAATGGAAAAGTCCGGGGCCCATGTGCCCCCCAAAACTTGCAGAGACCCTCCCAAGCTATTGAGCAGTGCTCCCAGAGGCGACGTTGAGCTCTGCCGGTTGCCCACTCATCTCTGAGCGGACAGCAGAGGAAGATTTCACACAAGCCCGAAGATTCACACAAGCCGACAGAGAGGGATCCCAGGACAGAAACTTACCTGTGTCGAGATCCCAGGGCTAGGAGGGTCTTTGCCAGAGTCAGTGCCTGAGCCAGGTTCCCGGGCTTGGAGATGGTCAGACAGCGCCGCTGCCTCTGGTCTCACAAATGTAAAATCCTTCTGTCCCGACTCGGAGGCTAAACACACCTCATAGGAGTAGGGCAAGGGCAAAGTGCTGCTGCAGTAGTTGTACGGTGCTTTGGAGCCCAGGGTGGAATACATTTCTTTATCAGAAGTAATAAAAACGGGAGGGCTCCTCGACCGTCGGCATTTAAAGAACAATATCAAAATGACTGTGAAAAAGAACAAGCAGCACACGGCAGCGAGTGCCACTACAAGAATGAGATTTAGATCAGACGTCAGCTCGGACACAGCATCTCTGTCGCTCAGCTCCGGCAGCGCCTCCTGCAAGCTCTCGGCCAGCACCACGTGCAGCGTGGCCGTGGCCGACAGCGCCGGCTGCCCGTGGTCCTTCACCACGGCCACGAGCCGCTGCTTCGCCGCGTCCCTGTCCGACACGGCCCGCGCCGTGCGCACCTCGCCGCTGTGCAGCCCCACGCGGAACAGCGCCGGCTCCGGCGCCTGCACCAGCTCGTACGACAGCCAGGCGTTGCGCCCCGCATCCGCGTCCACCGCCACCACCTTGGCCACCAGGTACCCGGCCTCGGCCGACCGAGGCACCATCTCGAAGGGGGTCGATCCCGGGTCCTCTCCGGGGACCGGCGCCGGCCACAGCACCCGCGGCGCGTTGTCGTTGCGGTCCAACACGAAGACGCGCACCGTCGCCGTCGAGCTCCGCGCCGGTTCCCCGCCATCCTGCGCCCGCACCACCACCGCGAACTCGCGGCACTGCTCGTAGTCGAAGGAGCGCTGCGCGTACATTGCGCCGCTCTGCGCCTCCACCGACACGTACGGCGCCGCGCCCGCGCTGCCGCCTTCCATCGAGTACCTCACGCGCCCGTTGCTGCCAGCGTCCGCGTCCCGCGCGCTCACGTGCAGCACCAGCTCGCCCGCCGCGTTGTTCTCTGCCACGTAGGCGCTGTAGGCGGCCTCCTCGAACACCGGCGCGTTGTCGTTCACGTCCGACACCTCCAGCACCAGCACCGTGCTGCTCGAGAGCGCCGGGCTGCCCCGGTCCCTCGCCACCACCGTCACCCGGTGCTCGGACTCCTGTTCCCGGTCCAGTGCGCTCGCTGTCACCACCTTGTACAAGCCGCCCGACGACGCCGCCAGCGACAGCGGCGTCTCGCCCGACAGCTCGCACCACACCTGACCATTCTTCCCGGAGTCCGGGTCCTTCACGTTCAGCACAGCCACCACTGTGCCGGACGGAGCATCCTCCGGCACTGGGCTCGACACCGACAGCACCGTGATTTCGGGCGCGTTGTCGTTCACGTCCAGCACCTCCACCTCCACCTCGCAGTGCGCCAACAGCCCACCCCCGTCCCTCGCTTCCACTGCCAGGCTGAACGAACGCGTATCCTCAAAGTCCAGCGCCTCCTGCAGCGTGATCCTCCCGCTCTCCGCATCCACCATGAACTTCTGAAGCACCTTAGGCGGCATTTTCCCGAAGCCGTACGTGATGCGGGCGTTGCTGCCAGCGTCGGCATCGGAGGCGGACACGTTCACCACTGTCGATCCCGGCAGTGCATCCTCCCGCAGGCTCACTCGATACCGCTCCTGCGCGAACACGGGGGCGTTGTCGTTGGCATCGGTGACGTTGATGCAGAGCTGGGCGGTGCCGCTCCGGGGCGGGTCCCCGCCGTCCACCGCCGTCAGCACCAACCGCAGGGTCTGTTCTCTCTCCCGGTCCAGCGCCCGAAGCAGCACCAGCTCCGCGAATTTGCGGCCGTCCTTCCTCTCCTTCACCTCCACTGCGAAGTATTCGTTGGCCTCCAGCTTGTAGCTCTGCAGCGAGTTGCTGCCCACGTCTGCGTCTTCTGCCATGCCCAAGTAAAACCGGGCGCCGGGAGAAGTTAACTCATTGATCTCCAGCTGGAAACTGTCTTGTGGAAACCGCGGCGCGTTGTCGTTCACGTCCTGGATGGCCACGTCCACGTGGAAAACGTTGAGCGGGTTCTGCACCAGCGCCTCGAAACTGATGGAGCAGGACGCCGACTCGCCGCACATCTCCTCCCGGTCCAGTCTCTCGCTCACGTACAGGTTCCCGTTCTCCCCACTCACGGTAAAGTATTGCTTCGCGGCGCTCAGCCGCAGCTTGCGTGCCGGCAATTCTGCCGGGCTCAGCCCCAGGTCCCGTGCCAGCGGCCCCACCAGGGAGCCTCTGTCCAGCTCCTCAGGGATGGCGTAGTGGAGCCGCTCCGGCGCCGCCCGGCAGCACCAGCACAGCAGCAAAGTGGGCAGAAGCACTCGCCCGGCTGATGGCCGCCGGCTCTGCCCTTGCCTCTGCCTGTTCGCCATTGCCGGCAGCGCTCACTTCGTCTCCCCTTCCAGCCCCTTTCCTCAGCGGAAGCAGGGGCTGCCGAAGGGCAGCGAGCTCGGCGTCGGCTCTGACGCCGCTGCTGCCAGCGTCGCCTCTCGCCTTTGCTGCCCGTGCCGCTGTGGCCAGCTACGGGAGAGCGAGAGTCTGCGGGGGCAGGACGCTGCGGTGGCTCCCGCTCCGGCTCCAGTACCGCTCCGCGTTGGCCAACAGCGGCACCCGGAGGCGCCGCGGCACCGCCGCAGCCGGGTGATGGCAGCGCGGTGATCCGGTCTCTACGCTCTGAATCGCACTGTCAGCGGCTACCAGCAGTCGGCGCCATCGGCCACCAAAAAACTCGTTCATCCTTCAGTTCGGGGTTTCTCACACCCGGGGGAAGGAGAACCAAGCAGCTCTGTTCAGTTGGGGAAATTACGAGTCTGGTTGGGGAACGCGTTACCAAGCAGCGGAGCAGCGCGCAAACCTCGTACAGCAAGCACAGGTAAGTACAGGTGAGTTCAAGCACGTACACTGCACAGCAAATATCTGACATATTCCAACAGTTTCTACTACTGCTGCAGGTTGTCTTTCTTCAGCAATTTAATTTCTACGAGCTTTGTGAAGCAGCAGCTACAAAATGCTTCAAAGGGGGAGCTGTTGTGGAAAGGAAGCACCAGAACCTCCAGTTACTTATATCCCTTTTATCTTATATACCTCTCAGAATGGCTGAGATGGGGGAAAATTAGCAAGATCTAAGAACGTGGACGGGCAGCGAAAAGGTCCCCATGGCCAAGGAGACCTCAATTAACTGTGCAATTCTAAGAATTGTAAAGAGTGGTGTACTCGCTGGTGATGCCCGTGGTGTCTGGGACATGTGCTGTCCAAGTTATCCTTCCCAGGATAGGCATAGACTTGCAGAAAAGAATACAACAAAAGTCGCAAGAAGAAAAGTCAGGAGGGCAGCAATGGAGAATACAGTTCACCCATGACACAAACACAGCAGCATGTTCTTTGCACCGACAATACACAAAACAGCCCAGATGTGGGGTGCTCTGCAAATGGAAAGGATAAAACCCTCAAGTGCATGGCCTATGAAAAAGTACTTGATCCTCCTCAGTGCCTGTTTGTACAAGTAACACCACCTCTTCGCAACAGCCGAAGGAAACCACAGAATGCAAGACTCTGTAAACCACCACATCTTGGTTCATGACCATGGAGAGAGAGGGGCACATTATCACCACCTGAACCATACGAAGTGCTACAAGACCACGGGTTTTGAAACTACAGGAACAGCAGATTTTCCTAATACTCCTATTGCTCTGGACAAGAGATGACAGCATGGCTGGCTATTGTGCTCATTCACTGGACCTGCTGATAACTCAGCTTCCTATTATGCCATTCTGGCAGCTCTCTTAGATGGTACAAAGAGACTGTCTACAGGACTCAGTTTCTCCTTCACAAGCTTATTCCACTGTAGCAGTTCTTAATCACAGCCACAACATCGCTCTGAGAATAGGCTCTTCCTCACCAACACGACCATTGTCACAAAGAAGCAGCCACACTCTTCTTCAGGTGGAGAGACACATGCAAGAGGGCTACCTACCTATACCGAGCAGATATTTATGCAGAATGCTGTTCTTCCTTAACGTTTCTTGCATTGCAGTCCTAATGTGTGCTTACATTTTTACAAATATTAAGTGAAAACTATGTTGTAAGGCAACAGTGATAAACAAGAACATTGTATCAGCATTAGAAACATTAGAACATACTATTGCTACACCCTCAGCTACCCTGCTACCTCTAACTATACCCTATGGTAAAAGACACAATGACGAGCAGTAGATACAAAGTGACCACAGGACAGCAACGATCACTGGGAGATCAACTCTCATTTGGCAGAGGAGGCCACAAGGTAGCTGTGCAAAGAGGCTTCTCGTGGGAAACAAGCTCACTCTCACAAAATCATTCCATGTGCAATAAGACTCTGGATGTACCCAGCAGCTGGTAAGGAGCACAGGAGAAAGCAGATTTTAAACATAGACCCAGCGCTGGTACACCAGGGATAATGGTACGAAACAAGCTGTAAGGCAACATAAAATCACAAAATAACCTTTCACAGCAAGAGTATCTTCACATGTCTTGAGCTGCCACACTGTAGTGTAGCCCAAAAGGAACCGCTACAATACTCTCTATAGTACTTCACCCATAGTTTGGAGGTCTAAGAAGTGGTTTGTGGAGTCTACAGACACAAGGCTCAGTCTGGGAACATCCAGTTCTTCATGTTTGGAAGAGCACAGTACACACATGTATTTTGGAATGTAACAATTGCTAGTAACTAATTTCGCTCTTCAGTCTTCCTCAATCCAGAGCATGGAGCTCACTTTTGAACCAAAGAAGGAAATTTCCACAAGCAACAAGGAATTCGTAGGGATGCCTGTGAAGGGGCTTCTGGTTGAGGAAAAAGCACATCCAGTGTCTTAATTCTGGGATGCAAAATTGAAAGTGCTGTCACTACTGGCTGAGGAACACCCTGTGTGTGAGGAACACGAGACAAGACCAAGACCCAACCCAGAGAAGGGTTTCATTTCCAACGACAGCTTATATTCTTCCCAAATAAAGGCAGTTAAATAAAAAAGATGTGCCACAAGGGAAGACTAAGAAGTATGTGAAAGCAAAGATGGACAAAACACCTCAATTAACACGCGGTTAACATAAAACCATTCTGTGTTTGCAATAGTCCCATCCTATATGTAAAACCACTCTGGCTGGTAAGAAGCACACAAAAAGAGAATCTAATGAGTACCGCTATTAAAAATGTAGAAAGCTCAATTTCTCACACACTGCCTTCAACTGATAAAAACAAACGATAAAAGGTGAAGTGGTACAACACGTGCAAACAGGTAATGCTATGAAACAAGCAAGAAAGCTGCCTAAAATACACAAAATATTAACCGGAAATTTCTAACCGGGGCATGATGCCATTTCCAAGGAAAGGGCAGAGAAGCAGCCCGAGAAAGAAAGTGGAGAGAAGGAAAGCACCTGAAAGGAACTCACCGGGAGAGAGGCAAAGTCCTCCCCGAGCAGCGGCGCGGGCTCGTCGGGAGGCGGACGGGCCGGGAGGGTGTCGCAGCAGCTGCCTGAGGACAAGCGGAGATGGCTCTTGCGAGAGTCAGCGGTGAGAGACACCTCGTGCGAGTAGGAGTGCAGGAAGGCGCGGACGCCGTCGATGCCCACAAACTGCGAGGCCGGGACGCCGCGCAAGGAGGCGCTGCCCGACGTCGCCAGCAGCTGCGAGCGGCGCCAGTGCCGCAGGCGCAGCGCCAGCAGCAGCAGCAGGAAGGCGAGGAAGAGGCAGGACACGGCCGCCACGGCCAGCACCAGCCAGCGCGTGAGGCTGGCGGCCGGCTCGCCCGGCACCGCCGCCGCCGCGCTGCCCAGCTCCGAGAGCAGCTCGGCCACGCTCTCGGCCAGCACCACCGTGAGCGTGGCCGTGGCCGACAGCGCCGGCCGCCCGTGGTCCTTCACCACCACCACCAGGCTCTGGCGCGCCGCGTCGCGGGCCAGCGGGAAGCGCGCCGTGCGCACCTCGCCGCTGTGCAGCCCCACGCGGAACAGCCCCGGCTCCGTCGCCTTGGCCAGCTCGTACGACAGCCACGCGTTCTGCCCCGCGTCCGCGTCCACCGCCACCACCTTGGCCACCAGCGCCCCGGGCTCCGCCGACCGCGGCGCCAGCTCCACGCCCGCCCAGCCCGACACCGCCGCCGAAGGCGCCGCCGCCGGCGGGTACAGCACCTGCGGCGCGTTGTCGTTCTCGTCCACGATCTCCAGCACCACCGACACGTTGCTGCTCAGCGCCGGCAAGCCGCCGTCCTCCGCCCACACCCACAGCCGCACCTCGCGCACCTCCTCGTAGTCGAACGAGCGCAGCGCGTACAGCGCGCCCGTCTCCGCCTGCACCGACACGTAGGACGAGAGCGGCGCGCCCCGCACACGCCCCTCCGACAGCCGGTACCGCACGCGCGCGTTCTGCCCCCAGTCCGCGTCCGTTGCCCGCACCGTCAGCACCAGCGCTCCCGCCGCGTTGTTCTCTGCCAGCCGGGCGCTGTAGCGCGGCTCCGCGAACACCGGCGCGTTGTCGTTCACGTCCAGCACCCGCAGCGCCAGCACCGCGCTGCTCTCCTTCACCGGCGACCCGCCGTCCACCGCCCGCACCGTCACGTTGTACTCCGACACCTTCTCGCGGTCCAGCTCCCTCGATGTCATCACACTGTAGTAGCTGCCCTGCGAGCTCCGCAGCCGGAACGGGACACCCTCGTCCAGCGAGCAGCGCACCTGGCCGTTCACCCCCGAGTCCCTGTCCTGCACGTGCAGCAGGGCCACCACAGTCCCCGATGGCGAGTCCTCCGATATCTCGCTCAGAAACGATCGCACTGAAATCTCGGGGTAGTTGTCGTTGACGTCTGTCACTGTTATCGCGACTTTCGCTGCATCGAAAAGCTCTCCTCCGTCGAGTGCCTGCACCTCCAGTTCATGTGTGGATACTTCCTCAAAGTCCAAATTGTCCTTCAGGGATATTTCTCCAGTCTCAGAGTCCAAATGGAAAAGTTCCGACGCCCGGTCTGAAATTTTATGGAAAATGTATTTCACGTGTCCGTTCAACCCCTCATCAGCGTCAGAGGCAGTGACGATAACGAGGAGGGAGCCCACGGGCATGTCCTCGGGCACACGCACCGTGTACTCCTCCTGGCTGAACACGGGCGCGTTGTCGTTGGCGTCCAGCACCGCCACGCGGATCCGCGCCGTGCCCGTCCGCGCAGGCTCTCCGCCATCGCTCGCCCTCAGCACCAGCTCGTGAAACGCCGCCTCCTCCCGGTCCAGCGCCTTCGCCAGCACCAGCTCGGGACGCTGATCCCCGCCGGGACCCGCCTGCACGGCCAGCGAGAAGTGCTCGTCGCCGCTCAGCTCGTAGCGCTGCAGGGAATTCGGGCCCGAGTCCGGGTCGTGAGCCTCGACCAATGGAAACCGTGACCCCGGAGCTGTCATCTCGCTCATTCTCAGTTCTTTTTCTGCTTGTCGGAAGCTGGGCGCGTTGTCGTTAATGTCCGTGATCTCCACTTCGATTTCATAAAACTTCATGTCCCCCTCCACGATCACCTCACAGCGCAGAACGCATTTCTCCACCAACCGGCACAGCTGCTCCCTGTCTATCCTCTCCGCTGTCACCAAATGGCCCGTTTTCCCGTGCAGAGTGAAATATTGCATCCTACCTTCGGAGGCGACTCGGATGCCGCGGTCGCGGAGCGCCGGCATCTCCAGCCCCAGGTCCTTGGCCACGTCGCCCACGAACGAGCCCTTGGGCAGCTCCTCGGGAACCGAGTAGCGCAGCTGCCCCCACGCCGCGTCCCACGCTGCCACCAGGATGGTCCACAGCAGGGCTCGCTCCCGCCGGCCCCAGCGCCTTCCCGCCGCGCCCATCTCCGCCGCAGACCCCACCCCGCGCCGACCACGCAGCTCCCTGACTCCGATCAGCTTCCGGCTCCTGCTCCTCTGCACCCGGTCCGTGTCTCCCTTCTGGCTGATGCCACCCCCCTCCGCCTCGCTGCAGCACGGCTCCGCACCGCGGGGACGCTCACATACCGCCCTGGCCGCCGAGACAGAGCGAGCGAGCTAACCGGGCCGCAGCAGGCGGGGCTGCCGGCAGCGTTCCGGCTTTCCTCTCGCTCCTCCTCGGTCAACAGCGGCGCCCGCAGCCTCCTCCCGGCACTGCAGGCACCGAGCGATGCCGAGCTCTGCCCGCCCGGCTTTGCCCAAAGCCAGCTCGCGGGGACAGCACAGGCGACACGGAGCTGCCATTGCGTCCTAGCCTGTGGTAATCTCCTGCCTCGATTGCTCTTGTGACGAGCTCTTCCGTGATCCTCACAGCCATCCCGGCCAGGCAGAAATAACAAGCCTCCCGTGTCCTTGCTAATCCTATCACTTACGTGTATATTTATGTGTCCATCAGTCCGCAGGCACAATCTCCCCCACCATTTGCACAACTTTTTGTAGTCGTTGTGCTTGAATAACTTTTCTCTCAGCCTTTCAGCACATCTAAACTATCAGACTGGAATGACATCAGCCACAATTTCCCAAATCCTGAGTAATAGCACAAAGCAGAGATGAAGATGCCTATTCAAAGACAGTTGTACTCCAGGCTGGTCCTTCCTCTGGACTTTGTTACTTTTCGTCTGCACATCGGGGCTGCTCTGGATCATCCTGCATTGCTCCCCTTTCTCATTTCCCTTCGGGATTTCATTACAGCCTGACACTGGAGGCTGCACTTCCATTTAGGACTTGGGGCTCCTCTGGGAGTCAGACAATGAAAACATTTTCCCAACCCCATTATGTAGAGTTGGTGGATCTCATTCTACACACTAAGGAACCACCTTCACGTTTACTAACTCACTGCACACACCTTTGTAGGGAAAAAAAATCAGCTAAACCTGAACATGTGATGAACCAAGAAATGGCATCACTAACTAACCCAAATTTTTCTGTATGAAGCTGTAAGTTTAAAGGCCTTATCATGGGGCACTTTCTCCAGTTTATTCTTCTGAGAAAACACAACAGATTCCCTTTTAGCTTCTCATTCTTCCTGCTCACTCCTACAATTCTGTCTTAGGAGGCTGAAGGATGTATCTGAAGTTTGTGTTTCAAATTATACCGCAGTAAACTTTTACATTATGTGCAGACAGAATTTCTCACCCTGCCCAAATGTCACACAAAAGGAAAACTACATTTGCAGACAGCAGTGAAAGAGAAGCTCAACACATAACTGTGAGAAAGGATCCCAACATGGATGCATGGAGAGATATTTATCTTCTTGTCACACTACTTGGAAGCAACCTAAAATATTCTCAAATGCATAAGCGATATGCAGCTCCAATAAAGACCCAGTCATCAAAGTATTAAAGACACCATCGTCCTACTTCAGCTCATGGCAACTGGGAAGATACACAACTCACAGCTTAATGTAAATTGTACATCTATGCTAAAAAATGATCATGCAAAGGAATGCAAACTGATGAACCCATAGCTTGGACAGTTATATGTTTAGAAGTGTGATATCAAAAAATAAGACACCTGCAAACTTATTTTCTGTAGGCCAGCAATAAACCCTGGGAAATGATAAATCAACACAACACATGCCATGTCTCCACCAGTACCTCACACAGCACCTCCAGGACTCCTCAAAACCTTCATAGCTTGCATCGTCCTTGATCTTTCTCATTTGCAGACAGACCCCATCCAAAGAAATGTTGCACAGAGAACATCTCTACCATGGATCTGATTTCCCACTACCTCTACATAACAAGCAAAAGCATATTTTCCAGTTACATTTTAAGGAAATGTCTATGAAAGTCCCTTTCAGCTGTAAACATGAAAGGCATTTATGAGACAGGCAGGCAAATAAACCAGACCTAATGTTCCACACTATCAGAGACAACTGCCCACCTTCAGATTATTACAAGGAGTACTGAGAGAAGCGAGCACATGCAGAAACATTGTAGCATGCTTTCCTTGATCAATATCTATTAGAGTAGGTACATAACTCAGGTCTTGAGTAAGAAATGAATAACTTGGCTCCTCCCAAAGCTCCCGTTATGGCATTTAGTTTCACAACAACCTTACCTTCCAGTCCAGGTAAAGTGGCCAAGATTCTTCGGGAAGATGAAACTTGTATTGATTGGTATTATAGCTGAGAACTGAACAGGGAAAGGAGCAGCCCGTGTCTCCTGTGCCCTTCAACAGACCCTCAGCCTTTCTACCCATGCATCTTCATTCCACAGGCAGTTATTATACAAATGCTCTCTCATCAGAGGACTCCCACAGCCTTTCAGAACAAGGAACCAACATCATGAGTGGCACAGGCCCTGGCATCAGGCAAAAAGCATGTTGATACCTATTTTCACAGTTCTAAGCCAGCTTCTCACCCTCCTTGCTGTGCATTCACATTCTTCAGTTACACCACAGACTGTATCCTGGTTTTGATCCATGAGCTATATGTAGGCTAGAAGCCGATAACGAAGTTTTGTTCCTTGATGTTTCAGAGAAACAGAATAACATCAAAGTCTTTGTCTTGGCAGATGAACACCTTCATAGGACAGATGGAAAGTGCTCCCCCAGCCTGATAACTGGAAGAGCTCTCTTCTTTCAACCTAACTAGCACCCCAGATGTGGAATAGGAGACAAAACAAGGCAGGAATAAGTAATGGAAAAGTGAAGGAACCATAGCTCAGCATCTCTGACTATATCAGTAGAAAGTACATAAGTTTGTAGCTGGTTAGTTGAAGACTCAGTCATGAGTATCAGCTCAACAACACTACCAAGCACATGGGCAATATTGAGGTATGTGACTGCAACTCTTAATGTAAAATTTACATCCATGCCAAATTACCATTCACAGGAAAAGTTGTATCGGACATGACAGTGTATAAAATGAGTAACTTCCAAGCATATACTTCAAAAAACAAGCCTAAACCCCAGAAATATCCTCCCTCCCCTACAATCACACCAATATTAATGCTGACGAAACATCAGCATTGATTTCACTTGAGAAGGTGACATTGAAAACATCTGAAAGTTGTCAAGGCTGGAGAAAGTTGTCAAGGCTGGGGAAAGCTGCATACAACCAACAAGGACATACAGATGGCAAAATGATGTTTCAAACAGCAGTTCTTAAACAATGTAGCCGTGAGTCATGGCACTTCCATTCCTATGGCTTGCTGACATGTTCTTATGAGTATTGTCATCCCCTCTTTGAAAAAAATGCAGGAAAATGGCGCTTGGTGGAAGAACACTGTGGCTCCTCCAAGGGTACTTGTCATAACTATTATGTAACAATTAGGAACACCACGAAAACCTACAACACATGGGAGGAAACTTCCAAAGCTCCCTACAGAGCGAGAATAGCATGTGTTCCAGCAAACATTCTTTGGGAAGATGAAAAAAGTCACATTATAGCATACTGCAGATGGGCACTGGAAAGAAGCAAACCATGTCTCCTGTGCACAGCTACTCATGCACAACTGCCAAGACCCTGACATTCACAACTCCCATAGCGTTCCCTGCATTTTTATGTATTGACATTAAGATGAAGACAGGCCACTTCAGAAACGTCAAAGTTTCATGGAAAACTAAGAACGGACGACCAGGAGAGATTAACAGCGTGGAACACAGCACAGACACGGCAAAAAAAAAATGAGGCCTTGCTCCAAGGAAAGTCCTGCCTGCAGCTGCCTCGGTCCTCCCACCTCACCACTCGCTGGCAAGCTGAGCAACAAATCCATGTTCTAACGAGGGCAAGAGGCACCAGCACCCAGAACAGAGGTCAAGCGTTGCCTTCCTGGTCCACACATCTTCGCGCAGAACACGGAACCCGTGACAGAAAGGACAGATAATCAGCAAAGTGAAGGAAGGGGCGTGGAGAAATGCTCCTAGGAGGAACTCACCAACAGAGCGGAGGGGTCCGCGTGGAGGGCGGCCGCAGGGTCCTCCCCGAGCAGCGGTGCGGGCTCGTCGGGAGGCGGACGGGCCGGGAGGGTGTCGCAGCAGCTGCCTGAGGACAAGCGGAGATGGCTCTTGCGAGAGTCAGCGGTGAGAGACACCTCGTGCGAGTAGGAGTGCAGGAAGGCGCGGACGCCGTCGATGCCCACAAACTGCGAGGCCGGGACACCGCACAAGGCGGCGCTGCCCGACGTCGCCAGCAGCTGCGAGCGGCGCCAGTGCCGCAGGCGGAACGCCAGCAGCAGCAGCAGGAAGGCGAGGAAGAGGCAGGACACGGCCGCCACGGCCAGCACCAGCCAGCGCGTGAGGCTGGCGGCCGGCTCGCCCGGCACCGCCGCCGCCGCGCTGCCCAGCTCCGAGAGCAGCTCGGCCACGCTCTCGGCCAGCACCACCGTGAGCGTGGCCGTGGCCGACAGCGCCGGCCGCCCGTGGTCCTTCACCACCACCACCAGGCTCTGGCGCGCCGCGTCGCGGGCCAGCGGGAAGCGCGCCGTGCGCACCTCGCCGCTGTGCAGCCCCACGCGGAACAGCCCCGGCTCCGTCGCCTTGGCCAGCTCGTACGACAGCCACGCGTTCTGCCCCGCGTCCGCGTCCACCGCCACCACCTTGGCCACCAGCGCCCCGGGCTCCGCCGACCGCGGCGCCAGCTCCACGCCCGCCCAGCCCGACACCGCCGCCGAAGGCGCCGCCGCCGGCGGGTACAGCACCTGCGGCGCGTTGTCGTTCTCGTCCACGATCTCCAGCACCACCGACACGTTGCTGCTCAGCGCCGGCAAGCCGCCGTCCTCCGCCCACACCCACAGCCGCACCTCGCGCACCTCCTCGTAGTCGAACGAGCGCAGCGCGTACAGCGCGCCCGTCTCCGCCTGCACCGACACGTAGGACGAGAGCGGCGCGCCCCGCACCCGCCCCTCCGACAGCCGGTACCGCACGCGCGCGTTCTGCCCCCAGTCCGCGTCCGTTGCCCGCACCGTCAGCACCAGCGCTCCCGCCGCGTTGTTCTCGGCCAGCCGGGCGCTGTAGCGCGGCTCCGCGAACACGGGTGCGTTGTCGTTCACGTCCAGCACCCGCAGCGCCAGCACCGCGCTGCTCTGCAGCGCCGGCGACCCGCCGTCCACCGCCCGCACGGTCACGTTGTACTCCGACACCTTCTCGCGGTCCAGCTCCCCCGCCGTCACCACGCGGTAGTAGTCCTTAAAGGTCTTCTCCAGCCGAAACGGGAGATTTTCGACGATGCTGCATCGCACCTGGCCGTTCGCCCCCGAGTCCCGGTCCTGCACGTGCAGCAGGGCCACCACTGTCCCCGCCTGCGCATCCTCCGAGATCTCTGTCAATGCTGACCGCACGGAAATCTCGGGTGCATTGTCGTTGACGTCTGTCACCGTGATCTCGACTTTCGCGGTGTCGAAAAGGCCCCCGCCGTCATGTGCCTGCACTTGCAATTCGTAGGAGTTGCCTTCCTCGAAGTCCAGGGGTCGCACCAACGTGAGTGCTCCTGTCTCAGCGTCCAGCTCGAAAATCTTCGAGGCTTTCGCTGTGATTTTCTTCAATGAGTATTTCACGTTTCCGTTCAACCCCTCGTCGGCGTCAGAGGCCGTGACAGCGACAAGAACGGAGCCCACGGGCACATCCTCGGGCACACGCACCGTGTACTCCGCCTGGCTGAACACGGGCGCGTTGTCGTTGGCGTCCACAACGACCACGCGGATCCGCGCCGTGCCCGTCCGCGCAGGCTCTCCGCCGTCGCTCGCCCTCAGCACCAGCTCGTGAAACGCCGCCTCCTCCCGGTCCAGCGCCTTCGCCAGCACCAGCTCGGGACGCTGATCCCCGCCGGGACCCGCCTGCACGGCCAGCGAGAAGTGCTCGTCGCCGCTCAGCTCGTAGCGCTGCAGGGAATTCGGGCCCGAGTCCGGGTCGTGAGCCTCGGCCAGGGGAAACCGCGAGCCGGGGGTTGTCAACTCGCTCATTCTCAGTTCATTTTCTGCTTGTCGGAAGCTGGGCGCGTTGTCGTTAATGTCCGTGATTTCCACTTCGATTTTGTAAACCTGCATTTCTCCGTCTAATATCACCTCACACCGCAGCACGCATTGCTGCACGCTTTCGCACAGCTGCTCCCTGTCTATCCTCTCCGCTGTCACCAAATGGCCCGTCTTCCCGTGCAAGGCGAAATACTGCGTCCTACCTTCAGAGACGACTCGGACGCCGCGGTCGCGGAGCGCCGGCAGCTCCAGCCCCAGGTCCTTGGCCACGTCGCCCACGAACGAGCCCTTGGGCAGCTCCTCGGGAACCGAGTAGCGCAGCTGCCCCCACGCCGCGTCCCACGCTATCACCAGGAGGGTCCACAGCAGCGCTCGCTCCCGCCGGCCCCAGCGCCTCTCCGCCGCTCCCATCTCTGCCGCAGACAGCTCCCCGCCGCCCACCGCTTTCGGCTCCTTCTCCTCTCGGCTGCTGCACTGTCTCCGGTCCGGTCGCCGCTGCCGGCCGCTGCCACAGGCTCCTCCGCCTCTCTGAAGCACGGCTCCGCACTGCGGGGACGCTCGCAGACCGCCCAGCCGCCGAGACAACCAGCGAGCGGGCGAGCGAGCCGGTCCGCAGCGGGCGGGGCTGCCGGCAGCGCTCCGGCCTTCCTCCCGCTCCTCCTCGGTCAACAGCGGCGCCCGCAGCCTCCTCCTAGCACTGCAGGCACCGAGCGCTGCCGAGCCCTGCTCGCCTGGCCTTGCCCAGGTCCATCTCGCGGGCTGCCATCGGGTCCCAGTTGATCTGCTGGCTGCCCTCGAAACGAGCTGTTCCGTGACTTGTTCTTTACACCGCCTCGAAAAATGATTGCCGTATATGTAAAATAAGGTTTAGAATATCCTTAGTATTGTCCTATTCATCCAAAAACATAGCCTCCAACATATTTTTCGCCTTCGTGTGTACAAGGAGAGCAAAAGAAAACTGGTTTGGAGTTCCCAGATGCAAATACTTGAGCTCATACGGAGCAAGTTTCAGATTCGCTGCACCACCGCCTGCCGGAGAATATACGTTTACTCATTCAACTAGAGAACGAGAACAGGTACATCTGCCTTTACTCTTGCGACAGGTTTTACAGGACGGACTACACATTTTTATACTTTTTTCCTAATGACTGGAAAGCGAAGTTTGAGGGTTTTACCTAGTAACTTCCTTCTTTAATAGCCCACATAAACCCCTATTAAAAAAAAAAAAAACAAAAAACAAGACAACAATCTCTGGATTAGAGCTGCAAACCGTAGCCTGTAAATGTGTAAATGGCTTTTATTCGAGTGCCTAATTTCTGCCATTTTGCACACCACTTCTCGGATTTCAGAACGTATTCAGGATACTGGTAACCAGGGCAGGACCCTGTTGCAAAAAGTGACGCAGAAAATTACAGTGCAAACCTCTTCGGGAAATAAGAAAAAAACAGGTTCCGATACAAAAAAAGGAGGTGGTTTTGGTTTGGGGTTTTGCTGGTTTTTTTCTCCTTGAGAACCCATTGTACATCAGGGGAAAAGGATAAGCGGTAACTACACAAAGAAACCAGAAAAATTAAGCCTAAACTATCATTGCAATCAATGCTGCCATTCCTCCGAAAGGTGGCAGGGCACAGCAAAAGACGGGAACATTCACTGGGGAGGGACATTGAGAGAACAAGTGCGCTTCCTTTGGGAAACAGCATTAACCACGTTCAAGTCCATCATTTCGGTAAAAAGTGATTAGGAAGGAAAAATCTGCAATACCAAGCGTCAACCACATATTCTCGACCCCGTTACGTAGTTAGATCTCATTCTGCACCGTAAGGATCCGCCTGCACCTTTACTGACATTTCAAACACCAGCTTCAGTTGTGTTTTCAGCTTATTAGAAACAGCTTTTTAGAGTATTAGAAACCTTACCCCAGCACTCCGCAGGCACAATTTCCCTCAACAATTGCACAGATTTTTCTAATCCTTTTACTTGAATGACTTTTCCCTCATCTTTTTAGCATATCAGAAACTTACTAGACGGGAACGCCACCAGCCATATTAATTTCCAAATCCCGAGCAATACCACAAGGCAGATAAAGATGTCTACCAGAGACCTCCTCTGTCCTGCCCAAAGAGAGTCCTCTGGAGTTAACCCTTTCCCCTGCACTTTGGAGGCTGCTCTGATGACTCTGCATAGCTCCAGCTTCTCTCACCACCACTTGGGAAAATTACAGCCTTGAAAAAGCCTAGGAGCTTAGGGAAAGCAAAAAAAAGGCAGTTGATGCACACAGAACCAAAGTTTCTTAACGGAATAAAAAAAAAAAAGATCAGGAACGGTAGAAAAAGTCAAGAGGATGAGATTTGGGAAAACAATTTCACAAAAAAAAACGTTTCCTGGACAAAATAACCAATACACAATTGACAGCAAGAAACCTCCACACGAGTTAAAGGTGGCTGGTCTGTGACGCGCCGAAAATGCCCTACCAAAAAAGGCCAGGCACAGGATTATTTCGTTCCTGGAAAAGAGAGCAGCAGCCTCCCCCAGCAGAGCCGAAAAGCATCAACAGCACCTCCTAGCCTGTTAGGAAAAGGAAAAAAGCGCGGGCTTACAGACCTGCTGTACTTCGGAGTCCGCTGGCGGTTTTCCCACGACGGCGCTGCTGGTCAGGCTTCGCTCTCCGAGGGCTCCCCACAGAGAAGCTCCTCCGCGGGGAGGCTGGGAAGCGGCGGCGGTGGCCAAGCGGCTTCGGCGACGGAGCGTCCAGGCGCCACGCACAGGTTGTAGGAGTAGGGCAAGGTGCCCTCGCAGAAGTCGGCTGGGAAAGCGGCGCCGGTTCCAGAGAAGCGCTGCGCGCCCAGGCAGCGCAGCACGGCGGGCGGCCCGGCACGGCGGCCCCTTGCCAGCACGGCCAGCGCCACGCTCAGCAGGAAGAGCGCGGACAGGAGAGCCAACGCCAGCACGAGGGAGAACTGCAGCTCCGCCGCCGAGTCGGCGCCCGCCGCCCGCTCGCTCAGCTCCGGCAGCGCCTCCTGCAAGCTCTCGGCCAGCACCACGTGCAGCGTGGCCGTGGCCGACAGCGCCGGCTGCCCGTGGTCCTTCACCACGGCCACGAGCCGCTGCTTCGCCGCGTCCCTGTCCGACACGGCCCGCGCCGTGCGCACCTCGCCGCTGTGCAGCCCCACGCGGAACAGCGCCGGCTCCGGCGCCTGCACCAGCTCGTACGACAGCCAGGCGTTGCGCCCCGCATCCGCGTCCACCGCCACCACCTTGGCCACCAGGTACCCGGCCTCGGCCGACCGAGGCACCATCTCGAATGGGGCTGCGGCCGGGGCTGCACTCTGGCCTGTTCCCGAGCCCACCACCGCCGGCCACAGCACCCGCGGCGCGTTGTCGTTGCGGTCCAACACGAAGACGCGCACCGTCGCCGTCGAGCTCCGCGCCGGTTCCCCGCCATCCTGCGCCCGCACCACCACCGCGAACTCGCGGCACTGCTCGTAGTCGAAGGAGCGCTGCGCGTACATTGCGCCGCTCTGCGCCTCCACCGACACGTACGACGCCGCGCCCGCGCTGCCGCCCTCCAACGAGTACCTCACGCGCCCGTTGCTGCCAGCGTCCGCGTCCCGCGCCCTCACGTGCAGCACCAGCTCGCCCGCCGCGTTGTTCTCTGCCACGTAGGCGCTGTAGGCGGCCTCCTCGAACACCGGCGCGTTGTCGTTCACGTCCGACACCTCCAGCACCAGCACCGTGCTGCTCGAGAGCGCCGGGCTGCCCCGGTCCCTCGCCACCACCGTCACCCTGTGCTCGGACTCCTGTTCCCGGTCCAGCGCGCTCGCCGTCACCACCTTGTACGACCCGCCCGACGACGCCACGAGCGACAGCGGCGCCTCGCCCAACAGCTCGCACCACACCTGACCGTTCTCCCCAGAATCCGGGTCTTTCACGTTCAGCAGGGCCACCACCGTGCCGGCCGGCGAGTCCTCGGGTACCGGGCTCGACACCGACAGCACCGTGATTTCGGGCGTGTTGTCGTTCACGTCCAGCACCTCCACCTCCACCTTGCAGTGCGTTAACAGGCCGCCCCCGTCCCTTGCCTCCACCAGCAGCGTGTACCCACGCGTGTCATCGAAGTCCAGTGCCTCCTGCAGCGTGATCCTTCCGCTCTCCGCATCCACCATGAACTTCTGAAGCACCTTAGGCGGCATTTTCCCGAAGCCGTACGTGATGCGGGCGTTGCTGCCAGCGTCGGCATCAGAGGCGGACACGTTCAGCACCGTCGAGCCCGGCAGTGCATCCTCCCGCAGGCTCACTCGATACCGCTCCTGCGCGAACACGGGGGCGTTGTCGTTGGCATCGGTGACGTTGATGCAGAGCTGGGCGGTGCCGCTCCGGGGCGGGTCCCCTCCGTCCACCGCCGTCAGGAGCAGCCGCAGGCTCTGTTCTCTCTCCCGGTCAAGCGCCCGGCGCAGCACCAGCTCCGCGAACTTGCTGCCGTCCGGACTCTCCTTCACCTCCACCGCGAAATACTCGTTGGCTTCCAGTTCATAACTCTGCAGCGAGTTACTGCCCACGTCTGCGTCTTCTGCCATGCCCAAGGCAAACCGGGAGCCAGTGGAAGTTAATTCGTTGATCTCCAGGTGGAAACTGTCTTGTGGAAACCGCGGAGAGTTATCATTTACATCCTGGATGGCCACTTCGACGTGGAAAACGTTGAGCGGGTTATGCATTAGAACCTCGAAGCTGACAGAACAAGACGCCGACTTGCCGCACATCTCCTCCCGGTCCAACCTCTCGCTCACGTACAGGTTCCCGTTCTCCCCACTCACGGTAAAGTATTGCTTCTCCGTGTTCAGCCGTAGCTTGCGTGCCGGCAGCTCCGCCGGGCTCAGTCCCAGGTCCCGGGCCAGCGGCCCCACCAGCGAGCCTCTGTCCAGCTCTTCAGGGATGGCGTAGCGGAGCCGCTCTGGCGCCGCCCGGCAGCACCAGCACAGCAGTAAAGAGGGCAGCAGCACTAGGCCGGCTGATGGCCGCCGGCTCTGCCTGCCCGCCATTCTCGGCAGCGCTCGCAGCGCTCCTTCCTCCTGCCGCAGCCTTCCCTCGCCTCCAGCTCCTCTCCGCAGGGAGCGGAGGGGCTGCCGGAGGGCAGCGAGCTCTGCGCCGGCTCGGACGCCGCTGTTCCCCGCGCCGTTACCTCTCCTGCCCGCGCAGCTGCCGCTCTGGCCGGTGCCAGGGGAGACAGCAGCCTGAGGAGGCAAGACGTTGCGGTGGCTGCGGCTCGTTGCCGTGTTTTCCGCGCCGCTCCATGTCGGCCAACAGCGGCACCGCCCCGCGATACCGCAGCGGGTGATAGTGCAGGCTGCGCCCGTCTCCAGGGTTTCGCTTGTATCAGAGTGGGAGGGTTTATGCTACAGAGCCCCCCATATGACTTTTAAGATGACTTTTAAAGTATTAGGGACATAAATCTTGTGGCCTGCTTTGGCACGAAAACTAACAAGGAAACCTGTGTGCCAGAGCAATAAGGTTCCCTCATGCACAAACCAAATGTAAAAAGACAATTGCTCACACTTTAGGGGTTGTGTCTATCATTTGTACCTGAGATATAGTTTGTCCAGCACCCATGAGAAAAGGGAATCGGGGCTAAACTGTGCAGAGTCAGAAGCAGAATGAAGGTTTTCATGCTCATCATCTGTAAGTTATTCCAGCAATTTTGGTAAAGCCCTGTGCCAAATTTCAATGCCAAGGGAGAGCCAGAAGGAAATAAAGCTCAGACTGCTGCTCTTTCCCATTTTCTAAACCCGCTTTATAATTTCATGCCAAAGCTGTAATTGTTAAGGGTCTGCACTTGGTTTCAGGTCTCACTTGTGTCAGTCGGGAAGCACAGAGGCACTTTATGCAACTCCCAAAGTGTTTAACAGTGAGAGACACCGCTGGGGGCTTTTAGGTTGTCTCCTTGGGGCACAGTGAACAGTCAGAAGGAATATTTGTGGCAGAGCAATAAAGTTGGCTGCCCTTAATAGAATGTAAACTATGAAAGCAAATTATATTTGTGGAAGACTGGCAGAGCTTTTTATCACTCTGTCAGGTATTTTGAATTCTGCTTATCAAAGGAAATACTGTTGGAGTAATCAAAGAGTAATCAGAAACAGCGAAGCAAAAGTCCTTGGAATCCATTCATGACAGGCTGCAAAGATTTCTTCTCTGCTGTCAGATGTAACAGTTATTTTTCTCCTTCTTAGTAGCTGGTATAGTGCTGTTTCAGCTTTAGTTTTGAGAACATTTTCTTCCTGCTTTTCTTGCTTTTCCTCACAAGACAGTGATGTTTATCATTGTTTCTTGCAGGCAGAGCAGCAGTCTCCCTGAGAAATGTATCACTCTAAAGGTAATGTGTGTAGCTTTGTTCTAAGAGAGGAGAAGAACTTTTACTGTTTTTTTCTGATTCACAGAAGTTCTTTTTTTTTGCATCTCCATACTTGAGGAGCTGACAATGGGAAAGTGCAAAGCCATGTCGAGCCTTTCACAGAACCCAAGAAGGGTTTGGGTTGAAGGCACTATAAAGATCATTGAGTGTCAACCTCTGCCATGGGCAGAGACATCCTTCGATTAGTTACAGCGTTCAAAGCCCCATCCAACCTGTCTTTGAGCACTTCCAATGATGGGACATTAACAAGTTCCCTAGGAAACCCATTCCAGTGTCACACTATCCTCACTAAAAAAATTCTTATGTCCAATCCAAATCTACCCTTTTTCAGGTTAAAACTCTTATTCTTGTCCTGTCAGAACTTGGCAAAAGGTCTTGGTAAAAAAGTCTTTTAAGCCTGTTTATGTATCAAAAATCCACAATAACATGTTCCCAGAGCCTTCTCTTCTCCAGGCTGAAGAACCTCACCTCCTTGAGCCCTTCTTAGTAGAATTGTTCTACCCCTTTTGACCATTTTCATGGTCCTTCTCAGCCCTAAACATGTCCATGTCTTTCCTGTAGTGTGGATCAGAGAGCTGGAGACAGTGCCCAGGGGGTGTCTCATGAAACAGAGTAGAGGGGGAGAATCCCCTCCCCCAAGCTGCTGGCCACACTGCTGGTGAAGCAGACCAGGATACAATTGCCTTTTTAGGTAGCAAGCACACATTGGCATCTCATGTCCCATTTGTCACCCACCGCTACCTCCTAGTCCATCTCCACAAGGCTGCTTTCAATCTTGTCTGTACTGAAACCTGAGATTGCCCTGATGCATGTGCAGATCCTTGCACTTGGCTTGTGGAACTTCATGACTTTCCCACAGGCACACTTCCCAAGTGTCTCATGGCCCCTCTGGATGGCTGGATCCCTTCCCTTTCGTGAATCAATGGCATCACAGCTTAATGTCATCTGTAAACCTGCTGATGGTGCATTCAATCCACTTTGTGAAAAACTAACTACTACTGGTCCTAGTACAGATCTCCTTGAAGAACACCACACATCACTGGTTTCCACTTGGACATTGAACCATCGACCAATCCAGCCAGTTCCTTATCCATCTAACAGTCCATCTGTCAAACCATTCTCTCTCCAACTCAGTGGCCACCATGTTATGCAGGACCATGCTGGGGACACCCTGCATGTGTTCTCCTGTGTGTTCTCCTGCTGGCCCCTAGTCTGTTCATGGCAACCTTGGCTGGGTTGGATTGCCACTCTGCACTATTTCGCTACAGACAACTGGCTGAGCACCCATATGCCTATGAAAGCCTTGCTTTTCCTGGCTATAAACATCAAAGGTGCACGTGGGAACTGAGCCCATAATTGACAAGCAAGGAAATGACTAGAGCCTCACACACAGAGCTCCCCTTTTTTGCAACACTAAAACTGACCAGTTTCCTTCTGACCTTCTCATAATTGGCATAATTACAAAAATATGATGCCCTATAATTCTGACCTCATCATCATAGAATCATGAAATCACAGAATGGTTTGGGTTGGAAGGGAGTTTAAAATTCACACAGCTCCACCCCCCTGCCATGGACAGGGACACCTAGACCAGGTTGCTCAAAGCCCTGTCCAACCTGACCTTAAACATTTCCACATGGTACATCCACAACTTCTCTGGCCAACTTATGCCAGCATCTCACCACTCTCATAGTAAAGAATTTCTTCTTGATATCTAACCTAAATTCACCCTCTCAGTTTAAAGCCATTCTCCCTTGACCTATCATTACATACCCTTGTAAAAAGTTCTTCTCCAGATTCACTGTAGCTACCTTTAAGCACTGGGAGCTGCTCTATGGTCTCCCAGGAGCCTTCTCTTCCCCAGGCTGAACAATCCCATCTCTCAGTCTGTGAGAGAATAACAAACAGAAACCAATCATGAGAGGATGATGTTCTACCCTCACTCCAAAAAAGGGAAGTACATTCAGATTCTTAACACCATTCTCAGAAGAAACAAGGATTCAAAAGCACACGAATGATAGCCAAAATAAAAGAGCAGTAATACAGCAGAGATTGGATCATTCAACTCTCCTCTTAGAGGGAAACTCCTTCCCTCTGTTACACACATTGTTCTGCAGAAATGAGACAGCTATGCAGTTTATGTTGACATCTATTTCCCCTGACAATAACAGAACACAAAGGCACCCTCACATCTGCTTTTCACACCAGCTACAGCATGTGAAAGAAGCAATAACACAGGATACCCTGATAAATCTATGCTTTTATGTACAAGTGAAGTGACACATGTAGGAAACCAAGAAGAGAAAACCAAAATCATAAATCAGACAAGCAAGGCAAGGAAGCTTTAGAAGGGAAAGTGCTGCCAAAGAAACTCACCAGGAATTCTTGGTCTTTGCTGTGCTGGGAGCACCTGGAAATTATTCCTATCTCAGGCTGCCCATGTGGGTTTAAAGCCTTCCTCTGGATTACATAGTGTGTGGGGGTTATTTTGACAAATAGCTCTCCAAGGTTGTTTTCAACTCCCACAGATACGAAGCCATACGAGTAAGCGCCATATCATGGATCTTCTCTCCAGCTCAGTTCTCTGAGAAAATGCAACAGATTCTCTTTTAGCTTCTGCTTCATTTTCCTCTTGTCTTTGGTGGATGAAATAAGTATTTGCAGTAAAATAACATGCACAAAAAGTGCCTGAAAAAAAAAGTAACTGTAGCTGTGAAGAAAATCTACATTGTAATGTTACAGGGAGATAGATAGAAAATGGGAATTTCACAGAGGAATTATAAGCTATTCTCTTCATGCATCATCCTTCTCTGGGCTGAGTTACCGTATGAAAGCTCTACTGCCATTGCCTTTCAGGAAAGGGAAACCAGGATCACACAAAAAAAAAATAGCACAGGCCTTAGCACCAGACTGGAAATCAATGTGTTGCCATGACAAAACCACAGTGACCCACCTATTTTCCAGGTTTAAAGCCAACCTCTCAATCTCCTTGCTCTGCATTTCAAGCCCTTAGTCACACCATAGACAATATGCAGAATTTTAGGCATGTCATCCACAGATGAAGGAGTTTGTAATTGTGACATCTTGGGTAAACAGAGGTATATCAAAGCCTTTGTTTTTTGCAGATTAAATTCCTCTAGGTGTGGATGAGATCTGCTCCCCAGAACAACTATAAGAGAACCTTTGATGTTTTAAGGGTTATCAGCCACAATGAGGCACAGCTTTAAATCTGGATGACAAGACAAGAATGGAAAGCCTGCAGATGTGCAGGCATCAAAGCTTAATATTTCAGAGTAGGTACAGAAGAGGGGGATCCAGTCAGGGAAAAGTCCAGAGGAGCTCACACCACAGGCAGCAGCCACTTTCCCTCCAGTCAATTTCTTTTGACAATAAAGTAAATGCACGGAACCGTGACTGTGGGCCTCATATAACAATGAGGACAAACTGAACTTTTACACCCATCTCTACCTATTTTAGACACTTCAAGTGATATCATAGCAAACCTTTTCACCTGCCCCAGCTCGACAATTTCTTAACCTGACCAAACATTACACAACAGAAAAGCTACCTTTGCATGCATCCAATGAAAGCAAATTTGCACATGCAACTTTTCACTACTGAGAACATCAATTACAACACAGATGCATCCAGAGAGATTTCTCAGCCCATCACACAACTTGGAAGCAATATAAAATGTTCTCCAGTATATAAGCCATATGCGACTTGACAGCTGTCAAAGTATCAGCTCAAAGACACCATCATACTTCTTTATCAAATGGGAAACATGGAAGATACACAAC